GTGCATAAATGTCAATTACAGGGGGGGGGTCTGAATCACTTGAGTGAGGCATTATAAAGATTGAAAATAATAAAGTTAAAAATGTAACAGGAGCGGTGTAACTGCACCATGCTGCTTTCGCGCATGCACACTTACCTAATTTCATATTTGTGACTTTTTGGCTGCTTCTAGGTATCAGGGAGTGGAAGAGACACCTACAGATTCGTTGTTTGGGGGTGTTTCTGTGCTCAGTAGGCTACACCTAAAGCTGACTTCGAAGCACCACAACCAGAAGGTGATCTGTCAGGCCTACAGCCCTGTGTTGAAAGAGGGTTCAAAGACATTTTACCACCTGAATGTACTATGTAAGTAGGGGAGAATTAAAAAATAAGGTATACATTGCATTATTTGTTGTATGTGTGTAAATAAACAGTTTTGTTTGCTTAACTTTAAAAAGACTAATCACTTACATGGCAGATAAAATCTACATCTCAGAGAATTTTTGCTGTGTTTTTTTTTTGTTTACCGGATACCTTTGTTATGGTCTGTGTCTGTTGAGCTCTCCGGCAGTTTGTCCTAATTGTGCATTTACTTTGCTGCATGGCCATGTTTGCCTTTGATGCTATTTCACAGGCAGCAGTCAGCTTCTGCTTCAAAGCTTGGTGCTGTGTATGAGCATGAAGGAATGTCACTGTGTGTTTGTGCAGATCTGCATTTGGACAACAGTACTGTCAGGCAATGTTTTAATGCCTGTCCCTCTCCCTCCCACGCTGCTTCACTCCCCCTTTGTCGAAGTGCTTGAAGTTGGTTAGATCTGGAATTATTGGTGGGATGTTGACTTTTTACTGGTTTGACTCTCATTAGTGTCCCTCAGTGCTTTCATGCTCAGTGTGTGTTGTGAGTTTTTGTGTTTGTTCTGGTTGGATTTCTGTGGACAGGAGTCTGTATGTATTCCTCTCTGCTTGTAATATTTGTATGAATCCAAGTGAGTTTGTATTTCTGTTTTCCTTTTATGTCAGATCCTCCTGAATTCAGTCCTGAGAAGGCAACAGAAGTCCAGGTGGTGGAGGATGACGTGGCTATCATCCCCCTGTTGGTCTCAGCTAACCCTGAGGTCCTCTCCTGCATTTGGCATCACGGCAGACAGATGCTGGTCAAAGGTGATCCAGGGCTGTGTGATGGCTCTATAAACCAGGTCCTAGTTGAGCTGAGCCAGCAAGTAAGCACTCAGCCTTGCCATTCAGGGTCTGAATAAAACATAGCAGGTTAGCCGGCATGGGACTCTGCCAAATGTGATTCTCATTACAGCTCTAATATATTCACTCTAAATGAGGATAGCTGAATACAACACAGCAGCTTTAAACTTGTCTTCCTCTGCAGGTCGATGTCATCAGAGCCCAGCTGCACCCACACCCTTTTTGTTATCTCTGCCACTTCCATTATATGCAGATAACCCTATATAATGAATGCATTTTTTTTTTTAAATGAAGAACAAACACGTTACCTTTTTGGGCACTGTGGTGCAGACCATCTCCCTCAGAGTATTATTGTTACCTTGAAGGGGGAATCTAGCCAGGCTAATCAATATTGCAGGATTAGATGTCAATAAAAGACCGATGGTGAGAGGACATGTTGATGAGCATACAATTAAGCTCTAATTTCCCATTGGTGTGCATGTGTCTGCCTGTGTTTTTACTTTTTCAAAGGGGAGGATCTACGCCACAAGTGGACAGATGATCACTCTCTGGAGATTAGAAATGTGACGAGGAAAGATGCCGGCATTTACACCGTCAAATGTGAAAATGATGAAGGTGTCAACCAAACTACTTTCACGCTGGATGTTCTTTGTAAGACATTGTTCATAGAAAATGCATATATATATATATATCCTAGATATATATTAAATTTATTCACTTACTGCAATAGTATGAAGGTGTGCATGTTTGTAATTGTAAAGGCCAGTTTGTATACAGTATTTCTTTAGCATGTAGTGTTTCAGATTTTTTGCATTCAAAATCTGCTTTCCGATAATATTCCACTTAGGTAGACTTTCAACATATTTATTTTCCTATCTGGTGTTAAGGTGCTAAACTATTGCCAAGATTATAGGATGCTGGAATGCTGAATGTGCTGCAGAATAAAGACTACTTTAAGCAACTTTACATAAATGTTGAAAGGATTCTAGAGCAGCTTTTGCATCTCTCATTCTACAGTTCATCTTTACTCTGAGCCACTCTACCTGCATAAAAATGTCTTTCAAATTGACATTCTTATTTCAGTTAGGTTCCAGATTTGGATAATTGTCCCAGTAGTTAAGTCAATTCATATATGCTGGCTCCTAATAGCACAGTTTTAAGTTCGTCTAAAGCTATACATTTGCAAAGGACCAAACTGGTTTTCAAGTTCCTTCTCCCGAAAAGAAAAAAAAAAACCTTTATTAGGTTCCCATGCAAGGCCATCCACTTCCCCTTCTGCCTCAGGCCCCGCCTCAAGCTTTAGGCCCTCTGCCTCGATTGTAATGATTTAGTAATGCTAGCGCTAAAAATTTAGGTCTGTTTGATTCAGCAAAGCCCATGGTAGACGACTAATGGATTCTGCCATCCTGCACTGACTGGGCTTGACAGTTGTAGATATTCATTATGTATGGAGGATTGTAGTAGCTTTTAACTATGGCAGTGGATCCCACTTAACAATGTCGGTCTTTGTTAGGAGACCAACATGAGTGGGTACTACCAACCCAGAGGACGGTGTCTTGCTACTGTTTCTCACCACTGTTCTTCAAGAGGGAACATAGGTTCAGACAAGTTGGCACTAATGGCCTGACTGTTGCATGAGTGTGGCACCCAGGGGAAGTGTAAAAGGCTTGTGAGGTTAACAAAGAAAAGAAGTGTGAAGTCTCTGGTAGAAGAGATTCACTGATGTTTAGATAGATGGAGGAAAGCAAAAGAGGGCAAACTGGTCACTCAGCCATAATCTGAACAGGGATGTGCTCTCATTAAAGGGTTTTGTGGGTCACATAGCCAGTTTTTAATGTGCTGCTGTTGTTCCAGCATAGAAAGAAGCTAATAGTTTGTATCCCATGGGTTATGAGCCCAGTTAAAGCCAAACAAGTGCAAGAGTAATTATCTCAAATCCACATGCCTTTTTTAATGGATGATGTTTCCTGCTGACTTTACTTCTGCCTCAGCCTTTTCCTTTTTTCTTACGCTCAGATGGTCCCAATGTCAAGGCGGAGAAAGACCCTGTGTTCGTTAACCAAGGAGGAATAGCAGACCTGATATGTGTGGCAGATGCCAACCCCATTATACCTGACATGTTCTCTTGGAAATGGCTAGTGAGTGCTACTGCAAGCAAACACGCATAGGCACACATAGCAGGAGCAGCAACAGTCAAGGACCAGAATCTATTTCCTCTATCTGGCTTCCCCTGTTATTTTCTCTGTTCTCGCCGTTTATCACTGGGCTCTCTAAATGCACAGATGCACCATAATTCACTGGCCTTAACTATCCTTCCACCCCACGTCTCCTTGTTTCACACTCAGCCCAAATCCAGAAAAATAGCTTTCATTACTGCTGCGTGACTAAAGGGCACATTTGTCAATGTGGTGTGGCCGCTGTATCTACTGATACTCTCCGTGGTCCAACCCGCCCCTGGCAGTGGAGTGCATGTTCTTTTCCTCTGCTTTTATTGCCCATTCTTTTCTGTCTTGGGCCTCTGTAGCATTTGATGTTATTCTTCTTTGTCCTCTCAGCTTATTCTATTGAATGCCCTTCCCATGCAGACATCAAGTGATGAGTCCGGCTACCTGTCTTGCCTTATGCAGCAAGACAGGTATTGCACCATCCCCGGGGGGGAGGATAGGAGGTACTGAGGGATAGCAGCTGTCTTTTGCTTATTTCCTCTCACTCTGTCTTCCACAGGGAGAGGAAGAGGTGGAGATGGGAGAGGAGACCCAGGAAGATGAATCAAGCCTTCTGACCATTCATAATGTGACTCGGGCTCACGCTGGTTTTTACCAGTGCACGGCCAGTAATAGCATAGCACTCCCTGCCAGTGTGGAGATGCAGCTTGTAGTGCAATGTAAGTCTGTCATTTTTTAAGTTTAGGGCATAGCAAACATTAAATATAATTCTATGATCCTTCTGTGGATTTCAATAAATACAGCATTTATGGTTCCTGAATACCTGCTACTCTGTTATTATTTCTGCAGTCACACCAGAGCTTTGGAAGGGGCCACAGTGGTCGAAGGTTGCCAGTCGGGGAGATGGCACTACCACAGCTGAGTTGGTGTGTCAGGCAGAAGGCATTCCTCGTGTAGAATTTATCTGGGGGAAAAAAGGGATGCTCATTGATTTAGCCAACCCCAGGTCAGAACGTTATTTAGTTTGCTATTTTCCATTACAAAGCCCAAGTTACATTTACAATGCTTTGCAAAAGTGTTTTTTTAGCTACAGTGGCTTAGAGGTGCATATACTTAAATGCGCCACTATACTAAAAGTGTTGCAAACACAAAAACAAGGCTAGCAAACACAACATTTAGACCTACACACAACACTAAAGCAAAGGAAAAAACAACAACAAAAAAAATGCTGCAAACAATCTAAACCCAATTAAAAATGTGTTCTAAGACTTGCTGTACAAAAGGGCATCATCTGTTTAGATATGAAATGATTTGAAAACACAATGTTTAATAACAATCTCTATCTGGATGTGCAAAGCTTTTAAAGACACTGAACATAGCAGAGAAAGGGATTGTTGTTTTTTTTTTTATTATTTGCATAGTATTGCTAAGGGAGTCTTCATATTAGCAAGAAAGCCACACTTTTCAGATTCTTGCAAATGATATGGATTTCTGATATGGATGATATGGATTTCTATTTCTTTGTTTTTCTAGTGTGCTTTAGTGTCGGCACTGTTCATCCTTTTTCTTAACTGTGTGCTATAAATCTTCATGCTACAGGTATGAGGAGAGGACAGTGAGGGAGGGCTCCTTCCACACCAGCACTCTGCGAGTGGTAAATGTAAGTGCTGCTCTGGACTACGCCGTCTTCAGCTGCACAGCTCGCAACTCACTTGGGGAAGACAAGCTAGACATCCAGCTCGTCAGCACAAGTATTGCATCTGCATACATTTCCATTTTAAGTTCATATGGGCGTGTGTCTCTGGGTGACTGTGGTTTAAGCAGTATTTTTACTTGGTGCCATGTAAAATGCAGAAAAAGGAATTTTGAGAAATGGCTGTGCTACAATTTTGGCATCTCTAGAGTGAAAAAAGGAACTAGTATGAAAGAGTGTTTTGAATATATTTAAACCAATCTATTTTCATCTATTTATATTTGAATGTGCTGTAATCTCATGATTCCATAAACACTTCCAGCAGTTTGGTTATCTAGCCAACATAAACCATATGCCTAAACCTCCCTGTTCCCATAAACACTCAGACAAGATAAATACCAAGAGACAGAGGACAGCACAAAATAGTTTATTGGTTCCTGACCATTCCTGGCATCCATCTCTACCTTCCTTGCCTTTTCTGTTGCTGTGAATTTTCCACTTAGTGGACAAAATAAAAAGAAAAAAATCCCCCAGGAATATTTTAATAAATGACAAATTCAAAATTTGGATAATTAATGGCACGCCGGGTAGGGATTATTCAGATCACACACTTGGCAGGGAAACATGAATGTTTCCTTCTGTTCTTATTTGGATACAGGAAATGAAACTGAATCTATGTCGTCTGGTCCAAATTCTACCCGGCCATCTAGCTGAATCAAAATAGTATTAGGGGGTCATTACAATTCCCACTATTCCCTCAAACCTTATTTTATACCCCTAAATCTACCTTATCATTTAGCCCACAGCTCTACTTTGCTTCTTCCACAGATAAGAGTTGCAGAGATAAGCTTTACACTCCTGGCATACTTAGACTTTCCACCAAATGCTTCTGCACACTACTGGTGTAATCAGCCTGGTCCAGCTCTCAGCAAATGCCAGCAGCTATCGATGGACACATTTAATATTTACTATGAAGACTACAAAATGCAATCCAATACTGACTGTTTATTTCCATCTTTTCGTTTTTTTATGGCTGAGTGTAAATAATCATAATTAATTTGATACAGTGGTGATAAATTATGAATGCTTCTTTATCACTTTGGGGCTGAGAGAAAAAGGTCTTTGGTAATATTTTTTTGGCATGGATGGCGATGTTTAATATAAGCAACCTCTTTGCTTTCTTTTAGTTGAACTGATTATAGGAATTTTTTTAGTCTTGTAATCTGGTGTACAGACTGGATCTATGCACCAGCAAACTGTCTGCTTATGCCTCCGTCAAAATACCTCTCCTTCATTTCACCTTGACTAGTCCCCTTCACCAAAATTACTGCCTTTATGCTCCCAATACAAAACAGCCCACTTTGCTTCCAGAAGCCTGACTGAAGCAGCGCTTTGTATAAAAAAAAAAAAAAAAACAGTCCAAGTCTGACTAGGCTCCTTTGATCTTCTTAATATTGGTGCTGAAATAATCAAGAGGCAATGTCTTATTGACTATGTTTTGTTATATGAATTATGCAAATCAGCTTCTAGGTTATTAGTGGAGACAGTCAAAGCTTTGTCCTTTTTTTTGGTGATCTTTCAAAAGTTTATTTATAATAATTATGCAGTTTCACATTTAGAATTTTTTTTAAACCAGTGCTACACAACGTCTGATCTGCAAAGTCTTCAGCCTATTAATATTTTTTGACATTATCTTGTGTTAGATTTTATTTAGAAATCTTGGCAGCTAAAAGCAACACAAATGGAGCAAAAAAAAATAAAAAGGGGAAATTCTACATCACCATAACGTTTGTCCACATTTATTCAAAGATTCCTGCAAACTACCTTTTTTAAGTCTTGTAGCTTCTGTCTGAATTTTAATATATTTTCTGGTTAACATCCATCCAAAGCTCATGATTTTTGGATAACCTTACAACCTTCCTGCAGGACTTATGTATTTAGCTCAATCTTGTTTTCTATTCTGTTACTGTGTTTCTTGTCCTAGCTAAGAAAAAGTATCCCCAAAGCATGATGCTCCCACTACTGTGTTTCTTGGAAGGACCTGAGTTTCCAGACTTCGAAGTGTTAGTTTTCCAGCAAATATAGGGCATTTAACATGTGAAAAAAGTAAAATTTCCTTTTTGTCTAATCAGAGCATTTTCTACCACATGTTTTATACCTCACCTACAGAAATCTGCAAAAAAGACCTTGGTGACTTGTTTTAACAATTAAATTATCCTATAACTCTTCCTTTAAAGATCACCCTTTCTTGGTTCATTATTAGTTGTGCTATGAGCCAAAGTTAAATGGATATGCACTGTTTTGACTTATATTTGAAAAAAATAAATAAAAATAAGACTATACCTTATGCTCCCTTTATTTTAAATTCATGGTAGTCAATCATATAAAACCCCAATAATATGCATTCAATTTTATTTCTCTAAACAGTCAAAATGGGAAGAAGTAGAGGTGTTTTTAGAATTTTTGGAAGGAGTGTGACTTAATAATTTTCTTAGGTTGATCAATTTGTTGATGAAACATCTACTCACAATAGGGAAAATTCTGTGTTTCTCTTGGGTGTAGCTGTGATGTGACAGAATGCTATATTTCTCTTATTCTCGAACACAAGGAAAGATGGAACAAAATACTATTTCAGAAAAGGGAACATCGATTGATCTTAAATATTCAGGAAATGTAAAAGGTAAAGTAGCCTCATTTAAACTACCATAATCAAAGTAAAGTGCCTCAACCAACTTCATATGGGACATATAAGATTGGTGGAGATGGCAATTATTTGGCACACAAGAAGAATGGAAGAACAGAGTCCAGTGTCAAAAACCGTAGTTTAATAAATAAATTACTTGTAGTTGAAGTTATTTCTCTTAAAAAGTAGCTTTGGTAGTAACTTAGCTATTGATCTTTCAAGCTAAATACATGTTTAGCAAATTGAACTTTCTTAAAATATTGATGTATTTGAATTACTTTCATTTTATTTAGGCTTTAAATACAACTGTGAGTTCAGTTATCAAATATATAATATAATATAAGATTATATAAGAAATGCAGTTGTTTCCCTTATGAATACCTACATTCTCTTTCCTTACAACTTAAGACTTCAGAGAGCTTACTGAAGAGTGAAAGTGTTTAGCTCAAAGAATACAATCAGTTTTTAATCTCATTATCCTACCTTTTCACCCTTAGATCACCCAGATCCGCCTTCATCGGTTCGTCAGGTCAGTGTTACCCACGACTCTGTCACTCTAGAGTGGATCCCTGGCTTTAATGGGGGCCTACAGCAAAGGTTCCGTATAAGGTAAGATAAAAATAAGAAACATATGAACATCTTGACAATGAGGAGAAAACCATTGTTAATGTAGTGTTATTTCTTTTGACAGATACATCTGGGACAACTCCATTAGCTTCATGTATGTAGATGTTGTTCCCCCTGATACAACAACCTTCACTGTTACAGGTCTGCAGCCCCTCACCACATACAACTTCTCAGTTAATGCCCTCAATGCAATAGGAGAGAGTGGCTATGCTGACAATGGTGCAGTACTGATCATCACCACTAAGGGTCAGTTGTTACTTACCCTCCAGATTATTCCATGGACAACTGATGTCCACAAAACATTTACGATGAGTTTACTTTTGGTATTCTATCTCTTTGTTTAAAGAGGCACTAACATCAGAGGGGGATCCATTGGATGATGATGCTCAGTGTGAGTTCCCCTTGGATTGTGTGTGTGTGATTGCATGTATGTGCAAAGCTTTATTGTATATATATATATATATATATATATATA